GATTTTAAGTCTCATAAATAGTGCATTTTACAACATATTATCTACACCGTTCATTTTCAATATTTTCATATGTTTATAGATCTACTTGATTTTAACCATTTTTTAAATTTAAAATTTTATAAAAAAATAGATTTTGAGATACCATCAAAATTATATACCATGATGAAATTTGAAGGTGCACCTGACTTGTCACACGCCAAGAATTTACAATACTGTTATTCCTGAGATGTGACAGTCAAAACATATATACATCTCTTGATAGGACAAATTTACAGTGGAGAATTCTTACAAAGCAAAGAAAACTTAGTCACAACTACAATATCTTCCAAAGTTGATCCTAACGAGCACTCAAAATGAAACCGCAGTTATCCTGAAAAATGTTTACCATAGTTTGATGAGTTTGGCTACTCAGTAAGTGATCATCATAATCCTAAAAATAATCGTCGATGGAAGATATAAACAAACTTTCAAAATGAAGGTCAATTAAAAACAATGCGAGCACAAGCATTTATAGATAACATTTTCACTTTCAGAAATGCACAATTAAACATAATCCAAATGATTGAAATGCATATAACATTTTAACGGCAGTGCATAATTCAAAAGATTCCACAAAATTACCCTACTGGCGTCCCAAGTAGGTCACCTATATACCCCATCAGCGTCTTGATGGGTCCACTTAATCCCTATCGGCGTCCCAGATAGGTCCACTTAATCCCTGCAGGTCCACTTATACCTCACCGGCGTACCGGATGAATCCACTTAATCCCTACCGGCGTCCCGGATAGATCCACTTAAACCTCACCGGCGAACCGGATGAGTCCACTTGCATACTTAAAGTATTTCTAAATCTCTTTAAACATTTGAAAGCAGCAATATCATGTACTCAACATATCACTGAAATCATTAATATGAATTTCACGGAAACCATTAATAACAGTCACTTTCAATAACATTTTTAAAATAACCAATCAAATATTTTGGGCTCAAAGTTAGAAAGGTAGCAGTTCGTAAAGACATTCTAGCATAATTGCCAGTTTAATATGTATAGAAAAACTCTTATAGAATTTAAAGAATACAAAATTATCACAATTTATGAGATGTCAATT